ATAACTGAGAAGAATTAAAGCACTGAAATGTTAGTAATTAATTAGTTGCTGACAAAAGATACAACTAACAAATTAAGAGGTAACCACCGGGGGCAGCAGTAAACAGTGAAAGTCAGAATAAATGGCACTGCTCTGATTATGTGCACTTGCTCTGAAGACTATAAACTCGGTGATAAACCCATGGCTGTGAGCTTTTTTTCCTCTCCGCCCCCTCATGCTCTCACTGCGATCAGACTGATGGCCAAAGATGGGCACGTCCCCCGGAGCGAAATAAATAATTAACAGGCCTTTAATTACACTTAGAAGCAAGCAAATGACCCCCAGGTCCCTCGGGAGCCCCAGGGGCGTGGTGGGAGACGGTTTTAGACGGTTTCAGTGGAAGGGTGTGTGTTTGCATGTGTGCGTCCGTGCGTGTGTGTTTACAACGTACCAACAAACCGGCAGAAGAAAGTGTCCTGATGAGTACGCTAGCGCTGTCTGGCCAGCTCATTTACTTTGACATTTGAGCCGAGCCATCGCTGCAGGAAGCGACTGCAATGAGGCGGATTTGGAGGCATTTGAGTCACAGCTCTGAACGACACCCTGACGTCCGTCCATCTGAGCGCAGGTGAATGAGAGGAGAAGACGATCAATAACGCCACGCTCTGACACAGTATTTATGAGTGGTTACAAATCCAGATATCGAGTTCCCTGCATTCTTAATCAGAATAAAGACTTGTAATTGCAGCCAGTGTAACTAATGACCGAGGCCTTACATGGTAACCTGAGACAACGTTGGTGTAATTACCAGCCGACCGTGTACCTCATTAGATGTTTAGTAGAGGGGAGGTAGCTTGTCATGAAAAGGACAGACGCAGTTCACGATAAACTGGATGTAGGAAAACTTCACTGTGTACTGTGAGCAGACATCCTAGTACTACACAGTATTTAGCAGAGTTTTGAACAATCTTCTAAACCTCAAAGTTCCTATGTTAACTTTGATTTTTTTTAACACTTTTCTTAAGGATTACAGACAATGACTTTCTGTTAGTTTACTCATCAGACCTTGATGAATAAAAAATACATAACATACTCTGACATTACAGTTTTGTTTGATGTTGTGCAGTTGTTTATTCTCACAGGTCAATCCAGATCTAATAGTTTCCTTCGCTTGGAATTTTCTTACACTTAGAATCAAAGATGAGGTATAAAAGAAAAACAGTCCAGACTTATCCATCTATTAAAACACCTATATGTAAGTGCTAGAAAAAATAGTTCCAGTTACTGATTTGGCCACAATGGGATTCAATTTAGATAAAATGCATCTAATTTATAATTGACAAAAAGTGCTTTTTGTCTTGTGAAGAACATGTTGTTCAAACACACCATCATTGGAAACCCTGCTGGATCGTCCATCCAGTTCTACACTTCCTGCTCCCCCAATTAGGCACCATGTAATATAATATTTCTTCTGTTGAGCTTGGACGAATATTATATGAGACAGAACATATGTTACAAGAACGCCATCACTGCCTTCTGCCTAATCCTGTAGAATTGGATGTAAGATCTCCTTTCCTATTGGTTACAGCGACGGCGTTTGCATTTTATCAAATTAAATCTGAAGAAGCGTGCCAGGTTTTAAACCACCAATATTAAAACACACACACACCCACGCACACGCACACACAGTCTTCCATCCTCTCACATGCCTGCACACTAATAGGTTCTTTCTTTTCATGCTGGCAGAGGCACTAGGAGGTCCAATCAATCACACCTTTTCACATACACACTAACATTTGCCTCCAGGTTCACTAACTGACCACTGACGTCCACCTCTTACACATCGACCGCCACATGAGCGTGCCGAGCAGCGCACTCTATTAAAGCAGTTGCAGGCCCGGACGCAGGCTTCTCTCGCTCTCTCCCTTTTTTTTAATAGTTGTAAAGAGGAAATTAATCTCCTTCTTAACCGCGGTGGCAGGATATTAATCTAGCGGCTTCACTCATCACCTCATCATTTCTCTTTTCGCCTGGTAATCCTCTCCTCATCTAAAGCATATGCAAACCACAGAAGGACAAGGAGAGTAATTGATCGTAGTGTAAGGCTTCTCTTCGCACCTCTCCTCTCTGTGGTTTCCGTCCTACGTTCCTATCAGTCCAGTGTCACCGTCTCTGTCTCTTCACTGTAACAGGCAGCCGATGTGACTTGTGTCTGTTCTGAGGTTGTTTATTTCCAACTCTTTGTTCAGAACCAGTTCTTTGTGCGACTTTGTCGTCAGACTGTAATTAGACTCAATGACATTCATAATTAATAGCCATGTACACACCGCTATTATTACCCCACTTCACTTGTTCAGTGCTCGGTGTGAATATCCTTAAACAAAGATTAACGTCATGTTTGCCCCAAATTAGGCTTTCCCCCTGGCTGCAGATGTGTCCCTGTACCTGAATCTGTAATTACAGCTCCCAGTACTGGATATACAGTTAAGAAATGAATGGGTGAAAAAGCAGCAGTGGGTCAGAAGCAAATGGTAACAACAAATAATGTGTTACACCTAAGACATATTCTTAAAAACGGATTAACTGCAATTTTGTGGATTAGAGAAATAACGGAGCAGAGTCCTGGGATGTTTGGCCCTCTTTGCGAGGGCCATCTCGTAAACCTACCAGCCGGCGCTGGTGTGAAAGCCAGTGAAACTTCTCTACACATGACAGAACAGAGCTGCGGTTGCTGTTTAAAGCCTTGAAGAACCAGTAGAAGTGATGGAATGAAGTTTGTTATCTGTAACTGACACACTGGTCAGAGGTCAAACCTAATCTGAGCCCACAAGAGCCAGACCACTTGGCCAGTGCAAAAGCTAACACTGTTAAAGCCCTTAATCAAATCTGAGGTTAATATGCTCACTCTCTATGATAAAAGCAGTCCAGGGGAGAAGAGAGAACCTCTAAGGCTCATGAGGACAGAGACAGGCACCCTCTCACTCCCCCCAGAGAGACGACACTTAGCCCACAGGACTGAGCCATGACTCAGAAAAAGAGCACGCTGCAAAATAAATATCATTAACCCACAATTAAAACCCTGTTCTGTGTCCTGACATCCTTTATTGTTCTCATATCTCTGTCCAATTACAACATACTGGAGTAATTACGGCTGCATTAAAAAGTAATGAAGTTATATGAGCGGGACTGTTTCCACAGGGCAATCTAACAGAAGGTCGGGAGAGGGAAAAAACAGGCAGCGCCGTTGAACGACCTGCTCATCTTTGCCCATGAGGTGAAATGTCAACTAGATGACTTCACAACCGCCAGGAATGTTCATGTTTCAGCCAATTCTTGCTGGCGGCAACCAGCAATCAATCAATCTGCCTCCTGGGGTGGCCATTTTTTAAATTCTCCTTTACCTTTCCTACAGGTCAACATGGTCGTGTAGTCATGGAGACAGATTGTCGCCCAGAGGGCAATAGATATAACTGGCTGCCTGATCTTTGTAATGTGTGTGAACAGATTTAAGTCAATAACAAGGGCCACGTGTTGTCTGAGGCCACGGCAGCCCAACGGACAACGTGTTTGTGTCTGTTTTTGTTAGCACCGTGGTGGCAGGAGTCGTCATGCTACACACCGCTCAGATTTGCACTTAAAGTGAGTGTGTGTACAAGTTTACTGTGTGTGTCTGCTGTGTAAACACATTTATTTTCATGTGTGACAATGGGCAATGAATTGCCTGAGTGAGGCTGTTAGGGAAGGGTCAGAGATGAGAGCAAGGCAATTTGAGGTTGGAAATGAGCGATGTCCTTTCCCATTTGAGTGCCACGGAGGCCCCCGCCCCGTCTGACGAACGCCACCTCCTCTTAAATGTCAACATTCCCCTTTTACTTCGGTGTCTCTCTGCTGTGTTTGTCTCCTCCAACATTACAGGAACCGAGGACGACAAAGACGAGAGAATTGATACACGCAATTCAGCATTTCACGTAGGTACGCTGCTCTGGTCGATTCACGGTGGACATACGGGTCTACACTTCACTGGAATACAGCAGTGGACCAATGAATGCAGGAGTAGGTCAGCTGTCAATCATGGTATTTAGGTTTGTTGATTTATAAAGTCCAGTTGTAGTTAGCCTGACTGAACACTAGTCCTGTTAGTGCAGCTTTTTATAACGAGTTGTGTGTGTATAAAGAGATGAAAACAGAAAAAAAAAACTTTTCCAAAGATAAATCAGACTATCTTCTGCGTATAAATGTTCCTTTATGACCTTTGACCTGAAATGTTCCTATATATAATAAATGTTCCTTTATGACCTTTGACCTAATTGTAGCAAAATATTTTTTATTTCTGCCCGAGGTCGGTTTATAATCTTTATATTATGTCTCCACAAGTACATTTATACCAATATTACACACACGCAGATTTTTTTTTAACCTAGCAGGCCTCTCACATCAACAACCATAGTACAAACAGATACCGATTCCAAAGGCAAACCAAAAAGGTAATATATAAAAATCTCTCCAAAAATGTCCGAAAAAATCTTTACACCAAGATCACCCAAACACACAGACACAAAACTACAGCTTCATCACAACACTATACTTCTAATTTACCAAGTAGTGATATTGAGCATTTTATTTATGAAATATTAAAATTGATATCCATGTAATAAATGAACTGAACAGATTGAAGCAGAAAACAGAAGATAAAACATTGACATTTGTTAGTGCAGTCCCACTCGGTCCAGCTGCCACTCACAGACATCTGGAGTCAGTAGAAGAAAAGAATCATTGAAACGACTGATATCTGAGTTTGTTTGCAGAGAGTCTTTGTTCAAAAAGCCATTTCACTGGACCTTCCTGATGTTTTGATTCTGCCGTGGTTTGTATTCCATTGACCTTTCTTTGAGGCTTTTGTTGGCTTTGAGGTCCATCACTGAGGATTTGAAAATACATTACTAAGGTATAAATGAAGGAATGTCAGCACAGACCTGTCCTAGAACTGGCACCGTCTGGTATTAGTGAATTATGTTTGTGATGGAGTCGGAACAGTAGCCGGCTAACAACAAGCCAATACAGTACAATGAGAGAGCGGCTGTACCCGTGGCACAGACGACGACTGACAGGGATTGACAACACAGGTCAACAACAATGGATTATTTGATAAGCATCAATAAGGCTGCTGGCCCTCTCGGGGCTTTGATCGAGTGCTTGCGTGTGGTTGTTGAGAGGCTGGCTGGGGATGGAAGTTGACGGGAAACTGATAATGGGCTACAGAGAATCACAGGAGATGAACCCCTGTCGAGAGACGGAACACAAGAAAGTAAGGAGGATGGGGAGAGAGCAGCAGGACAAGGAAAGGAGAGAGTGCAGACAGATAAGGATGGATTGTGCTGGAAACAGAGGGAGACTCCTTCACTGCCTATTTTCCAGCCATCCCCTGCTGGATGACCAGTACTCTGACAGCCAGGCATCAAGACGGACACCCTCCTCCTCTAATGAGTCCCATTCACAGCTGAACACACTGCTGTGCTTTACAGCATCAGCAGAAGGCCCTGCCACCATGAAAAAGCTGCTGGGGTCTCCTCCAATCACAAACACCACAACAAATCGAGGGAGTCAAATGAGGTTTTCCTGCAGTAAATCTTCAATATAATTAAGTCTGTTTGTGTGTGTTTTTAACAGTGTGTGCCACCGGTGACCAGCACACCTGCGGCTTTTTTGAAACAGGCATTCACTCCTCCCTTTGTTTTGCCTCTTTACCACCTGTTCTGTGTTTGCTCCATGTGAAGGAAGCCAGGTACATACATCTAAATGAGGATATCACACAGTCAGGCTGGTTCTCTGGGCTCCAGGGAGGAAAAGGAAAAAAAAAAAGGTATCAGAGAGCCTTCACTCACATTTTACCATCACTTAATCCGTGCAGTAATCTCCTTATGCGTGTGACATGGCAGTGTTAGAGAAGGTTGTTGAGGTTGCTGTCAGGGAATTTAATGTGAGTTCCCCTGTCATAGTCACTCTCGCTTCCTCCCTTCACTCAGCCTGCTGTGCCCCGAGGGGCCACTGACAAGAGTGGTATCGGCAGACAGAGCAACAGCAGCGAGGGTTGTCCTGGAGGCCAGAGATTCTCAACACACAGGAGGCTGAGACAAAAACCACCTTCTCACATTGTGAAAAGCTTTCATGCACAATGTGTTCAGAGATGTGGAACAGTCCTTCATCAAATAGATGTTCCTTATTTTGTGGTTACTGAGTCGTCGGCGCTGTATGTTTATTGATTTTGCCCATCTTTGACGTTTCAGGCAGGGGGTGAGCAGTAATGTGAAAAATGACCTCCCTCTTTGGCAGAGAACCAAAAAGGCAAGAGGCAGAAACACAGGCAGGATTTTCTGTTTTTAACATGATGCTCTCTGTCCAACCACATTACATTCCATAATATCTGAAGCAGGATCTCCAGATGCATGGGGGAAATTAACCAAAAAGGAAAGCAGCGATTGCACCTTCCTATTGCCTAAACACCTTTTACAGCTACGGCCCAAACAGTAAAAACACGCAGCCCACGTTGCATCTGAATGTATGAGTGTAATCTAGCCCATACCCCACGTCTCTTGTGGGTGTCTGTGGTTTGCTGTGCCGGTGAAATGAAAGCAGGCCTCTCTAATAACAGCAAATTTAATACCAGCTCTAGTCCCTTAATGAGAGTGCCCTGTGTTTGCTCTAGGCTCATATTCACAGCAGCAGTAGGAGAGGAGGTGGGGAGGAGCGCGCAAGGAGGGAAATGTAGTTAAGATTCCACATTAGCATCACCTCCAGGGCATCCGCGCAACCACCCGAGGCGGTGGTTTGGGTGGCGGTGGGTGAGACGAGCCTGCAGTGACACAGGGGTCACGAGATGCCCGTCTCTGCCTCTTCGCAGCTGGAATCATCCGAACGAAAGTGCAGGCGGCCGTTAATATCACAGGAAATTATTGTGACGCTTATCACAAAAGTGCACGACGCCGGAGAGTGGAAGAGGAACAATCTGCTACGACAGACAAAAACTGTCCCCAAGGAGGGGACTGATAATGATGTAACACAGACAGAGCGATACGATCGAGTCAGTATTGTTTCGTAACCTTCGATCACAGAAAATAAGAGAAACAAAAATCATAATAGGATGAGCTCAGCAGAAGTAAATATCCATACAGTATTTGGTGGATGTTTGTAACAATGCAGCATTCACCAGCCAGGTAAGGAGAACATTTTCACTCTGGTCAAACAAGTTCACTATCCTTTAGCGATTAGCATGTCGGCCATATTGTGAAAGAAAATGAAACAAAAACAAAGTATTGCAATCATCTCTGCTTTAATAGTCTTGGTAAGGTCCCCAGAGTGTTTACTAAACAGAGTGATTGCAGTGAACATTTTAATATTTAATAACAGGAAGAGATTGGAGAACAGCAGCGTCTGGGGAGAACAACAATCCATTTGGACTCACTGGGCAAATGAGGGAAACTAGGCTGAGCTCATTGACTTTGTCCCCGCGGTATGAATGAATTTTAAATTAATTTTAGGTTATAGACATAAATACACAAAACAGTGAGCAGGGAGTTTTTGTTTTTGTTTTTTTCCTCTTCATCATGCAGACAGAAAATACGCCTTTCTACGCTTCGCACATTCGCTGACCACTGCTCACGTCCCGGCGTACGTGCGAGAAGAAGAATCGTTATAATTATGTCGGCGTTTGACTTTGCTGCAATGGCCGGAGCTATGTCTCTATTAAATTTAATAGTAGCAAAGCGTGTCTGCTTAACGTGGACAGATAAATCTAACAACAGGCCGTTCTGTAATTTTTATAGCTTCACAAGTGAGATGTTCACCATGCTCTGTGTTTGTGGTGCTGTCTGATGTTGTCAGGTGACAATGTCGGTGCTCCCAAACACCACAGCTGCTTAGGCTGAGCTGCTTCTGCTACTGAAGCATCTCACTCTGTGAGGGGCTGATTACTGCACATACACTGTACACATGCAGGACTGAGCGGACTAATCTGAGGTTAGACGGATTAATTCAAACACAATCTTAAAAGCTGTACTTTACTCAGGCTAACACAATGCTGTAAGATGTTTATCCTCATCTTAACGCCCAAACTGAATTTTAAGTACACACATATAGACAATACTGACCTCTAAAGATGAAAAACTGGTGGATATTACTGTTAACTACATGGACCTCTGGGGCTGATGTGGTTTAAACCAAATATATTTTGCTAACTATTATATTGTCACTAATATAACCGACATACAGTGTTTAGTATTTTTTCACTAAGTGTAGAATCTAGAGGAAACCACATTCTGTGGAACAGCACACAGACACAGCAGCCAGGCAAATTCCTGCAAACCCAGTCCAGGTCTATTAGACAGGCATCAGCCATTCACCGTGGGCCAGGTCTGGCTGAGCTCCCAGGTTAGAGGACGTCTCCTCCTGGTCCTCTCTAACCATCTGCTCAATCCAGAAGGCTTGCACCGCTGGGGGAGGGGGAAAGGGAGGGTCCGACCCGCATATACAGGCTGAGATGAGAGGGGAATAAGAAGAAGACGAGCAGCAACGAAGGCTGATGAAGCTGGGTGAAGAGGTTGTTGGCAGGACAGAGGGCAGGACAGGGAAGGGACAGGAGAGGCAGGGCAGGGCACCAGTGTCCTGGGAGGAGGCGCTGGGTTGTCTGTTACCTGCCCACCTCTGACCAAAGCCATCTGCTGCAGGGAGAGGGAGAGAAATCAGAGGGCAGGGAGTAAAGAAAAGGTAAAAAAAAAAGAGAGAAAGAGAGATGCTGATATGAGAACCATGGTTCTGTTTGAATTAGTATTTCACATTGATTTCATGCACATTTATTTTTGTAACAGCACAGACTAATTTAGAACGAAACATTTAGACGGAGTGAAAATCATATTAGTGATTTATCCAGTGTCTGTAAGAGGATGAGGATAAAAAACTATGGACGTGGGAGTTTAATTGGACGCTGCTTTCGACGGAGCTGATCCTGCTCCTGCTGATGAAGGTGGTTTTGGATAAATTGGATTCAAGGCGGGAATATGTCCTCATTGAAATGAGTGATGGAATGATACAGAAAGAAAAGCCAACGCCGAACAAATAGGCTGGTTCAACAAACACCTGTACAGTGGCCAATACGCTGCATCCAAATCCCATTCCAAATGAAATATGTCACAGAGGAGAGCAGAGGAATGGATCACTGCATTGTACACAGACTTTCTCATTCCCTGGTATTATAATTGGCACTTCAAGAAAATAGAGTGAGGATGCCCAAGGATGTAAAGAATGTACATGCTTTTCTTATCTTGTCCATATGTTCTTCCTCTGCCCTGCTTGGCTCCGGCCAGCGCTGAGGCGAATGGAAGAAAGAAGAGACCGTGATGAAGGTAATACTGCGGTGTGTGGATGGAAAGAGTCTAAATATGGATTTTAAACAGTAGAGACCTACTGAAAAGAAGACATCTTAAACAGCAGTCACAGGGGATTTACTGTGATATATCACAGTACATTACTTCTGTGTTCTTCTGTTTGCAGTCCTTTCGTATTAGGATCAGCTCAGTATCGACTGTGGTGTCAGAGATAAAGTAACTTGAAGAAAATTGAACAGAATTGTTTTCTGACAATCATATGTATTAAAGTTAATTACGCTCCATCAGCATTGTAAATATTTGACCAATCACACGAAGCAGATAATAATGAAGTACTTTGAAAAAAAGTTTACCATCCTGTGTCATACTAATTATTATTGATTAATACTGTGGAGAAAATCAGGCTGAACCTTAGTCACAGGTCAGCAGCCACGTATCTTTAAGGTTTCTATATTTGCTGTTGTCAACACTACGCTCACTTGCCAAAATTGGGATTAATGCCTTTTGGTATTTTTTGTGGCTTGTTGGAGTTTATGATAAATTATAGAATCTCTGCTTTTTGGTGGCTGCATTCTCTTCCTTTGACCTAATGGTCACAAGAAATAATGCATAAGAAAGAAGATTAAAGTTATTTTTCATTTGATACTTTAATATTTTTGTTGTTGTTGTTGTTGAAATTTTGGACATTTCTATTGCCTTGTGTGGTAAAGGGCAAAGGTCGCTGTCTAAAAAAATTGAAAAGACCTAAATTTTACCCATTCCACAAAATATAAGAAATAAACTGCAAAACATAAGAAATAAACTGCAATAAAGCCTGTACATGTTACAGCAGGGCAGTACACAGGGTCATTTTTTAATACTAATATATATATTTTTAGTGTGCCTTGGAATAAGAGAGAATACAAATGTATTATACATTTTTGTTTGGAATACTGTGGTGAATATTTTGTATTAAATGTATTTATGTACTCTTGTGTATTTATTATTATGGAATTCTCATTCATTTATTCATTTGAAATGCTAACATTAAACTGTGTAATACACAATAATAATAATACAATATTGTGGCAGAGAGTTAGGTGAATAATTGGGATTAAATTTTATATATATATATAATTTTCTCAAACTGGTAATGTAAAATGTTCAGACCAGTGACTCCCCCTCCCTCCCTCTCTCCCCCTTCTTGGCCTGTGGGCAGTGGTGTCTCCAGGCATGCCTGGTGACATCTGACTTTTTCCCCTGCCGCGCTACATTTAGCAGTCATTAGTTCTGGGGAAACAGGAGAGTGGGAAAAAGTGGGAAAGACTGTAACAGCAGAGGAAGAATTCTCAAAGATTAGCCAAAGTTTTTAATTCGCTCAACCCTTTTAACTAATAAAGAAAACAGGAACACGGTGATGATGAGTGTACAATATAAACATGGACTCAGTGATTTTTTTTAAGAAGCATTGATAATCTGTATCATTATCAAATTAAATCCTATCACAATTAAAGCATGGAGTGTGTTTCACTGTGGTGTCAGATGCTCCTGGACTCCACAGTGTGAAGTCATTTTCTGTTAATGTGGTCATTTCTGCTGAGTTGCTGCTGTACATCACTTCATTACTGTCACATCACTGTACAGCACGTTAATATTACACAACCCTTCCACAGTCATTATTGTGTGTGTGCAGCAGTCAGCGTTGTCACAAAATAACCAGAGACATGCACATGCACACACACACGCGCACACACCATATCACACACACACACACACACACACACACACACACACACACACACAAAGAGTGAAGCCGATAAGATTGAGCATTTAACAGTGTGGCATTCCCACAGGATCAATACTGATCCGAGTTATTACTGGCTGTATAGCATTTGTATTGGCACTGTGGCTCTGAAAAGGCGTCCAGGATGAACCTCGCAAAATTGATGTCAAAGGTGCCTCTGCACACAAAGGCCAGAATGGATGATGTGGAAGTGGAACCCGCATATGAAAGGATGCTACGTTAGCAACACAAACCTCAGTGGTGTTGGATAATGAGTGACTATGGTAAAGACACTGAATGGCAACTGACAGTATGCATTAAAAAAATGAGGCAAAAGAGACGTCTCCGTTATATGGCAGGAGACTGGCAGCTTGTCCTCTGCTCTGCCCCCCCCCCCCCCCCCCC